AAAAACAAAAGGTTTATCATATGTTAACGTTGATTATAATCTTGTTAAAATATAGAAAATAATGTTATCAATAGATAATTTGTCAACTTTTGCTAAGTAAATGACCGTTAAATAATCTTTTTATATCGGTACTTTATTGATTTTTTAATCGATCATTATATAGAAAAGTTAAAAAAACTTATTTTAAGATTTCTGAAGCTACAAAACATATATTCATCATAGCTTAAAATGGAATAATAATGATGTTTTGACTAAAGCAATCAATATGACTAATTATATATCAATAATTAATAGAACTCGAAAATATCTTCCATTAGTATATGCATCGACGATATAGCCTAAAGCAATTTGAGGTACTTTGGGTTACAAGTTGATGATGTAGATACTATGAAAAGTATAGAGAAATTTGTGGTAAAGTCATAGGAAAACGCTAAACATTTTAAAAGTTATAGAAATTTAATATAAATCTTTTAAGACACTAAAAATCTACTCGATAATAAACGACCTCTACAGAGTTTGACAGCATGTTCAGTTCCTCTATTCATTTTTCTTTTTTTTGATTATTAATGAACATGTTTTTCAACAAATTTGACTCATTTTTGCTTTCTTTAGTCAATCATAGAATTTTTTAACATGAAAGAAAGAACAGAAAAAAGAACATTTATTATTTTTCTTTTATTTAGAAAAGTTTTCGTTGAATGCATGATTGATCGAGTATAAGAAAAAGAAAAAAATCTTTTCATGTCTTTTTTTTCTTTTCTATTTTTTTAATAGATAAAAAACAAGCTGTTACAACTAATCGTTACCTTTGAAAATTGTTTCTTATTTTGATAAAGATGAGTATCAATAAAACTCGTTCAAGTACAATTTATTTAAATGAATTAATAACAAATATTCCTGTACGACGAAAAATAGTTGATCATAATGATCGAGATAAATTTGAATGGAATCAAGTATATATAAAAAATATTTCTTTTTAAAACTAATATTAATTAGTTTATTTATTATATTTAGTGGCAAAGTGCAACAAAAGCAATTAATAATATTGAAGTATCACCAAAAGAAAAACATATTCGAAGTAAAATAAATATTTTTGTTTCTTTTAGAAAATTTTTTAATATCAATTTTTAGATCTTATTCTTGGTACATTTCGCTTAGAAGGTTCTCGTTTATTTTGGTCAATGATGATTAGAATTAATATTGAATCACATCCAATTATATGTTGGAAATTTTGTTATGTTATTCATCGACTTTTAAGAGATGGACATAAAAATGTAGGACTTAATTGTATTGAAATGAAAAAAAAAGAACAAATCTCTCCCCTGCAGATATCATTTATCGATAAAAATTCGTTACAATATATGAACTTTTTTTTTTGTTGTTATTAAATTTCGAAAAGATCAAGTAAAAGAACAGTATTTTTATTCCACAAGAATTATGCTAACAGCTTTTTTACTCATTGAATATGCTGAGATTGATGAAAATAGGTGTCTATTATAAATTCAAATGGATTATTCGAATAGTTTCTATTTTGATGAGATTTTAATAAGCTTTAAATGTCATTTAGGTCATTCGCGATTCTATTCTATTAACAAGTTATTTTGATCAATTAAGTAAATACTGGGTAAGTTGATCTCACTATGAGAAAGTCTATTTAAAATAGTGATATATTAATTATTTCTCATAGTATTATTAATCATTTATACTATGTAAATATTTCTTCATTGATTATTTAGAGTTGTATACAACAAAATTATGGTTTATTATCATATCATTATTGTAATTTAATAATATCAAAATTAAAATTTCATGAACGAAATCTAATGTTTACAGGAAATTTAACAATAAATGAACATAATGATATACGATGTTTATTTAATAATAATTTTAATTCATATTTTCAATTATGTATTGAATTATTTAATTATATGGAAGAAATATTAAATCTTGCACAAATTATTTTTAAATCACTTGATCAATCACGTTTAAATTCAATGACAATAACTGGTCAATGTCGTCTTAATCCACTTATTATTTGTATACAAGATTCAAGTCTTCTTTATGATTATATTGTTAAAGTTCTTTTTAAATTACATGAAAGTAATGAAATTCATGTTTGTTTTTTTTTTTTTGGAAAACAATATTTTCATATTGAAAAAAAAAAATTTAGATTTATCTGTTGGTGATACATTACAAAATCATCGACAAAAATTATTTGATCAATTTCAAAGATTAAAATCTTTCTATGCTCAATCATCAACATTACCATATTTTAGAAATCTTATTAAAATTCCTATTTTACCTGAAGTATCAATAATTTGATTTTATCAATTTTTTTAAATCGTCTCTTTTATTTTTTTTCGTAATAGAATCCACCAAATTTTAATGTAAAAGAAAGTTTAGCAAATTATCAAACTCCTATGGCTATTGTAAATACGTCAGCATCTGATTCATCACAAATGATACAAGATCTTCTTATTGATATATCAGATGATGTAAGAAAATAGGATTCATTAATTTTATAATTAATTCCAATCTATTCATGTTTCAGAAGGAGATTCAAAATAGTTTATCTATATATATAATGTTTCGTGTGTATCTGTGCCGGATCAAAGGTCATAAGTTAACGGTCGAATAAGGAGAAATCCACAAGAGCTACTATAGGGGGTATGCAAGGAATATCCTATGAGGGTACTCATAGGTCCTCAAGGACTGTTCTATGATGTACCCTCAGGTTTTGAAGGAAGTAAGACAATAAGGAGAAAAGGTTACATAGACTATAAAAATATGTGCGATATATGAGTACGAGGCTGTAGGACTATCTATCTATAGACATAATATCGAGTGTGTGCATGGCTGTTACCAGATGAAAGGTTAAAGGTTTGAGGTCATACGTTAAAGAAGAAAACAGCCGTGCAGTATGCACGAGTTCACACTAGTACATTAAATAAATAAACTGAACTAAATATTCAATTAAATCTTGTACACTTAAATTCAATAAGATAATGGTAACGGCTGTTGTTCATCAAAGGGAGATTAGTTTATTCTGTCTATCTATAGTGCAAAAAAGAATATAGTTCACATAGTAATACGGGATAAACAAATATTATGCTTGGTAGAGAATTAAATTTTGTTGTTATTTATAAAAAAAAAACTATTTTTAGACAAAATCAACATCAATAGCCACACTCAGTGATAATTTATTAGAAAACGAAACTATATATAATCGGTTTGTTGATTTTTAATATCTAAATAATATTTTATGACATATGTTTGCCTTTAGTTCACAAAATATAGTCGATTTTGATCAGGAATTATTACAAGTAAACACAGTACAACAAAATCGTTCTGAAATTGATGATTTACATCGAATGATTGCTATGAAAGATGCAGAATTAATTGCAGAAAGAAATGTATTATTTAAGTTTGAGAAAAAAAAAAACATTTTTTTTTGTTTATTTATTTATAATATCATTTTTAGCATCGCTTACAAATTGAAGAACAACTTCGTTATCAATTGAATAATCAACAATCTATAGAAGAAATCTATGCTCTTGACAGTATATTGAAATTTCTTTAACAAAAAAAAAAAAAAACATAAAAAAACTTGTATTTATTCTAGATAAAACAAATTCAAATGAAAAATTTAATAAATTATTTGATACTTATAATCAATTACATGAAGAACATATTGTTGTTTTACATAGAGTATATAAACGATCGTTTTGTTTTACATTTTAAAATAAAAAAAAAAAAAATTGTTTTATTTTAGGAAGGTGAAATTAAAAAACAGTTCGAAAATTTAAATCAACAATATATACAATTAAAAGAAGATTATCAAGTATGATGATATATATTTGATTATTTATCTATTTATTAATTTTAGAAAAAAGAAAATGAATATAATCAAAATTATCAAAAATTTAATAATGATATTATGCAATTACGTCAAACAAATGATGTAAGTTAAGAAAAATCTCAATACATACAATAGAAACAAAAAAAAAGAAATCACATTCTTTCGCTTGCTTATTACCTTCATCGTACAATTCGCAATATTCAAAAAAATGTTTGACTATTTCATATTCTGTTCAAACTATTTCGCGTAAAATTTAAATTAAGAAAACTATAAAATTGAAGTCTCTCCTGTTTTTTTTTTCTTCGAATTTTACAGAATAGAGTAAAGATAATTGTAATGACGGCTGAATTGTTGAACTACTATTTAGTAAAATACATAAGATATGAAAATACTGATGAATATTCTAACATTTTTAAAATAATAGAAATCAAATCTTGTCTTTGTCTAATATAGGAATTACAAGATAGAATTCAAATACTTACAAATGAACGTAATGATTATCAATCTATAACAATAACAACTAATGAACGTATTAAAGAAATTGAACTTTCTAAACAAGTAAAAGAATGAAATTAATTAGATATCGTTTATTGATATTTATTTAGAGTTTTGAAGAACGATTAAAAGAACTAGAAAATGATAAATCATGTCTTCATAATGATAAATTTAATTTTGAACAAAAATTAAAAGAAACTGAAGGAGAACGTCGTGATTTATTTGATCAAAATCGAGTAAATTTTTATTTTTTAAAGATAAATACAAAAATAATGTATTTATTATAGGAACAAGAAGAAAATCTTATTGATTTAATACATGAAAAAGAAGTTCTTGAACAAAAAGTTATTGATTTAGAAGAAACAATACGTGAATGGGCACGAAAATTTATTGATATAGCCGATAAACAAAAATTAATACAAGTTAATCATGAAAATTTCTTAAAAAATTTAAAACGACAATATAAATGTAAAGTTTAATTTAAAAAAAAAATAAACAAAAACAAGACATCGATGTTTTTTTTTTTTGTTAAGATTCTATTTTAACATATTGTATTAATCAAATGCATGATGGCATCGATCGAACAAAAGATATCGAATTATTTAATTGTAAAAATAATGCAGAGTACCTTTTATCGAAATTGCATACATCTATTACAAGTACAAAAAGAATTCAAGATCTATGGAAAAAACAAAACCAATCTGATGAAAGTTAGTTAATGTGTTTCATTGTCAACATATCTTCAAGATTAACATTCGAACTTTGAAAGAAATTAATTAAGAAAGATCTTCTACTGTAAAAAGAGATTTATTTTGTTCACTGTTAAACATGAAATCGGAATAGAAAGAATATTTTCAATATATAAAATCTTTACTAGAAAAACTTTTTAAAAATCAGATACATTCTCATTAGACATGCTATAATGACAATGAACTCATTTCTTACAATGTTTGAAATTTACGCATATGCTCTTTCTATAAGATATTTTGAAGGTTTACGATACGATCAGGTGAAGAAAAAAGTATCTATTTAGTAGTAATCTAATTATATGGTTTAATATTTGTACTTTTTGATATTTATTGTTTGTTATTAATCACAAACTTTTCTAAATGAAACCTCATATAACAAAAATCATACCATTTTCTTTTTAGCTGATACACTTTCATTCTTAAATGAATGTATTACATTAGCAAATTGTATGGCTGATATAGTTGTACATGGAAAAGCAGTAGCGAATCTTGTTCAAGATGTTATTGTAGCTAATGATTATCGTGATATTACACTCTATTGTATTGATCTTTACACTAATTATCAAACATGTTCGTAATCAAACAATTTCTTATTGATAAAATACTTGAGTCTCTCATTTTAGCATCAACATCAGATGATATTGATAAACAATCGAATCAATTAATTTATCGTTTAAATTTATTAATCGAAAAAACAAAAAGATTTTCTGCATAATTATTAGCTAGAATATATTTATTTTAATTTTAGAATGTAGTCAATAGTTGTCATTCTTGATATGGTTAATTTGACGCAAAAAGCTAATGAACAGATCTGAACTAGATTTATCGTTTATTTTTTTTTTTTTT